GGGGGGAAGAGGTGGAGGGGGTGAGGTGGAGGAGTGAGGTGGTAAGAACGACGAGATATTCCCGCCAGGCGGAAAAACAGGTAGTAGACGAGGGCAATGGCCCTATGCTGCAACAAAGTCGCATGCACGTCCAAGCTGTCGGCAAAACATTTTCACACACATATGTACATATATATACACATTTACACACAGACATTTCTACACACAAATAGAGACACACACACACATAGACACACGTGCAGCACTCCCCCCGTCACGTTGCTTCTCACCACGTTGCGGGAGGAGGGCCCCAATCGTCGTACGAATGGCCCTGTACGACATCTGATGACACCAGCGCCCCCTCCCCCCCCCCTCCTCCTCCCTCCCCTCCTCCCACGCCTTCACCCCATCCTACCGACGCCTCTTCGGGGCCCTATCCACCCCCTCAAATTCCTCACCCCCACCGCCTCTCACCCCTACCTCCTCACCCCTACCTCCTCACCCCCACCTCCTCACCCCCACCGCCTCACCCCCACCTCCTCACCCCCACCTCCTCACCCCCACCGCCTCACCCCCACCGCCTCACCCCCACCTCCTCACCCCCACCTCCTCACCCCCACCGCCTCACCCCCACCGCCTCACCCCCACCGTCCTCACCCCCACCTGCATGACCGCCAGATATCTGGGCAGGTGCATGTTGAACCAGGGGTGCTGCCGGATCTCCGGAATGGTGATCCGCTTCAGCGGGTCGACCAGCAGCATGCGAGGGATCAAATCACGGGCACCTGGGGGGGGAGGGGAGAGGGAAGGGGAGGGGGAGGGGAGGGAAAGACGAACCACACACGATTTTGAAGCTGCTGCCAGGGCAAGAGTGTATGAAACGTAGAACTGACCGAAAGGGAAGGGGGGGAAGGGGGAGGGAAGGGGCGGAAGAACAGCCGCACTGCTTACGCGGGGATGGGCGGGCGTGTATCAATATCCAAAATAATGCAAACAAGCACACAAAGTACCCTCCCCGGGGCCCCGAAACCCGCACGCTCACACACTCGCTCTTCCCCCCTGTCCCCCCTCCTCCCCACCCCTCCACCCCCCCACCCACCAGGCGACAGGTGCGATGGCAGGTTGTAGATGCCACCCTTGATCTTCTTGAACAGGTTGGGAATGTTTTCATCGTCGAAGGGCAGTGAGCCGCACAGAAGCGCATACAGGATGACACCGCAGCTCCAAACGTCCACTTCCGGACCCGCGTACAGCTTGCCGCTGATCACCTGGGGACGTGTGTGTGGGGTGGGGGGGAGAGGGGGGCAGAGAGGGGTGTGTATGCATGGAAGGGGGGAAAGGGAGGGGGGAGACGAGCCACGAACGAGTGAAGCTGCTGCCAAGGGGGGGGGAAGGTGTGTGTGTGTGTGTGTGTGTGCATGTAAATAGGGTGTTGATGTCCATGTTGACAATGCTAAAGATAATTTGTTGATAATGATGATGTGGGCAATGACGTCCCTGCTGGCCTACCGTCCGTAGAGCGCCACGGTGTTTCGTCACGTCCCCGGCCCCCACTACCCCCACTGATACAACCGCAAACATTAAAAAACCCGAAGTGTAGGACCACAGCTGTACAGACGCACTCTCACATACATACACGCACACACCGCCCCTCTCCTCCCGCTTTAAAAGGAGAGTGCTTCGGCGGTAACGGTTCCCGTTGGGGTTTATACGGTTAGGTGCCCCTGGCCAGTGTCAGGCCCGGATTGATATGTAACAGGCACATCCGCGCCGCCCCGCTTTTCCCCCTCCCCCAACACACAAACATACATACACACGCACACACACACCTCCGGTGCCGCGTAGTTGGGGCTGCCGCAGCTGGTCTTCAGAAAGTGGCCGTCCCGCATGATGTTGGAAAGGCCTGAGGATGCCGACGGAGCGGGGACAGGGGGCAGATGACGCCCCACACCGACACCACCACCAGCACTCGCGTCCTGCATGAATATAAACCCACCAACCTCCCCCCCTTTCCCCCCCTCCCCCCCCCCACCATACGACCACCCCCGGTTCCCCGGCCTGTGTGTCCCCCCTCTCCCGGGGGGCCCTCCAGGGGTGTGTCCTCATACAGGACCGCTTCCTCCATCCATCCATCTACCTATCTATCAATCAATCTATCTATCTACCTACCTATCTATCTATCAATCTATCTATATGTGGTAAAGACATTTCCCTCCGCCGCCGCCGCCTCTTCCTCAACTCGCCATCTCACCAAAGTCGGCAATCTTGACGTTCATCTTGGCATCCAATAGCAGGTTCTCGGGTTTAAGATCTCGATGTACGACCATGTTGCGGTGGCAGTACCTGGTCACGTGTGTGTGTGTATGTTTGGGGGAGGATCGGGGAAAGGGGGGGTTAAAGCTACAACTTCTTCAACTGCACAAGTCAACAAAACAACGAAATAACCGCCGGGGGGCGGGGGAAGTGAAGGAGCAGCACATGACAAATGACACAAACAACCAACGTGTACTTGCGTGGAGTGGTGCGCGGGGATAGGGGGGAGAAGGGTTTTAGAGTTTTAGGGACAATCATAATGCAGGAAAGTGGGAGGAGGGGGGTTAAGGAAGTCATGCAAGTCACCTAAGGAGTGAAATACGTCAAGGATCCCAATATAACACACGCACATACATACATACATACATACATACATACAGAGAGAAACACACACGGCCCCCCTCCCGTACACTCACTCGACCCCGGAAATAATTTGTTGAAAGAAGTGTCGTGCCTCGTCTTCCGCCAGGCGGCCCTTCTCGACGATGTAGTCGAACAGTTCGCCAGTCTGGGGGGTTGGCGGGGATTCGAAAATCAAATGCCATATCGAAAAAAGGCTTTCGGGGGTTGTGCGGTGCGCATTGGGAGGTGGGAGAGGTGTACGGGGGAGAGCAAACCCACACGCGGGTCGGGTGGGGGAACTACAACACCACAAGGCGCCGCGGGACATGCAGGGCACAAGCAGCATTGCACAAGTAACGATGTTGACATCCAAAGCACACTACAAAGCACACAAAGCCGACTACCTAACCGCTCCATATCCCCCCCCCCGCCAGCCAGCGGAAGAGCAGGATAGCGGTGAGGGGGAAAGGCGGGGGGGAAAGACGAACCACACACGATTGAAGCTGCTGCCAGGGCAAGAGTGTATCAAACGTAGAACTGACCGAAAGGCGTCGGGGAGAGGGGAAGTCATGACACAGACAGACAGACAGACGGACGAAGGCAGGCAGGCAAGCAGCAAAGGCCGCGCACGCCGCCGGCAATAATAAACGGTAAACCGGACAGGAGGGAACTACAGTTGCATATGAAGACGTGTGTACATCATATTCCAGTGGTAGCAAAGTACGACTTTCCGTACATACCTTCACGTATTCCATTACGACGTAAATGTCGGACGGCGTCTCGATAACCTCGTACAGCCGAATAATGTGCGGATGCATAAAAAGACGCAAAATCTTGATCTCGCGCCGTACTGCTCGTCCAAACGAGCAATAACCACAACGGATTAACAGAGCAACGGAAGGGCGGGCGGGACGGGGGTTAAGTGAAGATAGAATTCCCGCCCCGCAGTCCAACATGTGTTTTGGCGCACTTTGTAAACATTAAACAAAATGCAAACTTGTCACGTTGACATCTGAAATGCCGTACATGGGGACGCGGTGTGTGTGTGCGTGTGTGTGTGTGTGTCGGGGGGGGTGGGTGGTAGGGAAAGCTAAGGAAAGGGACAAGCACCCGTTCCTCCTCTCCCCGCAAATCACTCCGACACAATTCCCGCCGCCTCCTCTCAAAACGCGACCGGCACCTTTCAGCAAAATACAAATACGAAACTGCCGGGGGGAAGGATTAATTGAGAAAAACAAGGTGGTGCATATGTGGTGATATTGGTGGTGGTGGTCATGGTACGTGTGAGGAGGTGGCGGGGGGGGGGTATAGGGTCGCACGCGGTGTTGCCAACGTAATCCAATGCGCGGCCCCGGGCAACGGCGGTGGCGACAGCAGCAATTAGACCGGTCCAAGCCCAGACCCGGTCCACTCAGCCCCCGTACCGTACAAACCCATCTCTCCCCCCCTTTTCTTCCCCCCCAAGTGGGGGGGCTCGCGGCGGTCTGGTGCCGGGGTGAGGTGAGTAGCGCCTGTGTTTCGACCTTCCCGCGCCCCCTACCTCGCCCCACCTCCCCTCGGGGCGCTGTCCCTGGGGTTCGCAACTAACACCAACCGACACCAACTACCAGGCTGGTGGCAGACTACCCCCTTCAAGGCACATCACATGATCCGCCAACAGATGCCAGGGGACATCCACAGCTTCCTACTACTACTACTACTACTACTACTACTACTACTCCACCTCCTACTCCTACTCGCTGACAAAGACACCCTACCCACCAAGCCGCCTACCCTTGGAGTCCCCCACATGCGCAAAGAAGAAACACACGCGGGCTCATGCGGGCCCCTTCCCCGCCTCCCCACGCGCCTTCCCGTACTCCGCACGCGCGCATACACCTTTTCCCCCCCACGCCCGCTCCCCTGCCCCCTCGGTCGGGCTTCCCCCCTTCCAGGGAGGGTCGAGGGGTGGAGGTTGAGGCAGCCGCGACTTCTCACTACCTCTCACTATCCTCTCAATAGCTGCTGGGGTCCCCCCCTACGCAACGAGATGCGCCCGGGGCAGCACCTCCCTCCTGACTTTGCGGTAACACATGGGGCAGGTGCCGTACTGAGCCACGGGGTTCCGGTAGAACCGGCACCGTGCCTGCTCCCCAGAACAAGGTGCTCCCTAATGGGGCTACTTGTAAGGGGTGGGGTCCTGGGGGGGTTCGAACCCATGCACGAGGCTTGGCGCCTTGTTTGGGCCTCTGGGAGATCGTGGGTGTTTTTGGTGATTGGGGGAGGAAGCGGGGGGAGCTACCCCCACAGAGCGTGCTTTCGGAGTTCCAGGGTTTACTTTACATACGGTGGACGTACCTTTCTCCTCCATTTCCATTTGCTGGATCTTCCTCCTGTTCAAAATCTTTATGGCGACTTTGTGCCCGGTCAAGACATGCTCCGCCACTTTCACCTGGGGGGCTCGGAGATAAAGTTCCGATTGATGTCCAGCGCGCACGTTACACGGCGCAGAGGCACAACGCGAGGTGGAAAGGGAGGGGCCAAAGGGGGGTCAGGGGTGCCCGTTGAGGGAGGTGCGTCGTCATGGAGTACCGCAGGAGGGTGCTGTCGGGTACAAAGGAAAGTAGTCGCATTCAGGAAAGAATGCGGTTATGCCTTTCAATATGGCTGGTTTATCATAGTTTTGAGTCCCTACTGCGTTGAGCGTGTTGGCAGCTCTCAAAATCTAAGCGAATTCAGGTTCCGACAGAGGAGAATGCAAGTTTTTGCGATCTGCACCTTTCCGAAAGACCCGATGCCTAGCGTCTTGCCCAGGCGATAGTTGCTCAGGTAGAACTCCGCGCCTTGGTTGTAGCCTTGCACATTGGTCGGGTTGTTGAACCCGGCAGCGACCGCGTCCACAACTGCAGGTGCACCTAATAAAGACACCTGATCTGCCATCCTTGTCACTGTACAATAAAATTTCTAGAAGGTATGTATCACAGGCTCTTTCCACGCAATTGCTGTCCTTACGTCCAGTCTCTACGCAAGCCCCACGGCTTAACAGTGAAATCCTAAAATGGTTGGTTGGAGCCGATGACGACTAAGGTAGACTAGCAACGCCCCGTCAATTAGCGATGGGGTTTTCGGCGACGGACCATCTTCATGAAAAGCGAAGTCGTAAGGAAGAGATGTCAGGCTAACCGATTAGACATGTTGTTGAGCAACGAAATGGCGCGCTTTCTCGATTAGGAAGATGCAGAATCCGGGGACATTTTCTTTTGCTGACGAGGCTGCCGTACATGACCCACTTTCAAGGGCGTTCCGCAATGCAATGATATGTATTTTCCCTTTGGGCATGGACTTCAGACCGCCACTGCTGTATTGCTATCGCAAAAAACTGCGCTTAAGAGCCAGCTGCGTCTTTCTGCCTTTTTGCAAGCATACCTGCCACTAAAGCTTGTGTGGGTAGTCGCTATAAATAAAGGCGAACTCCCATGCTTATTACCTTGCCTGCACTCCTGGTTGCGGAAACGCATGCTTTGCTAGCCAGATGAGGTTCTGAAACGTTATGACCGGCTAGCATACCTTGCTATCATGGTAAAGGCTTGGCCACTGTACACTTTGAGGTTCAACCTAATCTTGCAAACCAGGACACGAGGAAAAGAAAACCAACTTTGGTCCCGTGGGTCGGTTTCGTCCTGGTTTTCCCATGTTGTAGTGGTGCCAGACCATGGGGCTCTACTTCAGTAATCAACCACCCACCCGCCAAGCTTTGGAGTTCCCGCATGACGAGGGTGGTCTCTTGCCCAGCTCCTTCCTTCCAGCTCCCTTTCCCCCTTTCCAAACAATGTCCAATCTGCCCCAATTACTCCACTTTGGACCTTTCATCACAAAACCTCCCACCGCTTCCACACCAGATGCAATAACTGGCCATGAGATCATGGAGTAACGCCCGTATACATTTTGAAATGCCAGGCTTCTGAAGGCCGTGACCTTCCTGACGCAGACAAAGGCCCACATCAGCAAACTGAGCCTAATACAACACTAGAAGAATGGGAACACCTGACTGGTATATTTGGGCGTTTGAAATTATCTCTATCAGGGGAAGCTCCCCGGACTGGTACTTCCTTGATGTACGTTTAGAGTACTTGATAAACATCTATCAAAGGGCGTGGCTGTTGAAGGCTGGCGGCAAACAGGCAATGGAAATTTCCGCTCCGTTCGCCTGTCAATAATACTGTCACAAATTGCAAGTCCGACTTGCAAAGCAAAAACAATTCAACTTATGCACATGGGCGCGTGTCCTGATAGCCAAGCCGGCCTAGCGCACGTCTTTGACTGGCGATCCACATCTTGCTTGCGCACCAACAGAGTCCAAAATCGCACATATACATTTCATAACGCCAGCGCAAGGCCCTTGCCTGATCTATGAGTTGAAGCTTTATGTCCTACATCGTTCGCTTCAGTTACGCTTAAACCTCCAATCGCAGCAGTTACAATATCCTCGACCAGGCTACAAATGATTTAATTAGTCATTTAAGCAAGCTTCGGCCCTTTCGCAACCTTGGGACAAGCTCGTCGCATCACATCCACTCGCATCGCAACATTCTCTCATTTCCATCTAGAAAATCTCCATGAGGCCCCCCGCAGACGTCAAGAGACGGTAATCACACTCTTGTAGCTCCTAAGACACACATACATTCTCCTGTTCAACGGCAGAGGCTTTACATCTGTATATCATTTCCAGCACGAGAACGTCATCTGGAACTTCGTCCAGCGACATCAACTTTTCCGGCAGAAATCTTCACGACCCGGGCAGGCTGCGACGTGCGCTCACCAACCGAAAAAAAGCCGACCAGTTTAGGGGTACCAACACCGTTCATTCCAGTCAAGCAGGAGCAAGTCCTCTCAGAAACGCGACACCAAGCGCTCCGCGCCGCCACCGAGAGTCGATTTTCCACACATCAACGACTCAATTCCTCTCCATATCTCTAACTAACCGGCTTTTAAGAATTAGAGCTTTGCCGAACACACGTGGCGACAGGTAGTTTTTTGTTTGAGTTCTCTTGCATCGCTGCCGCCGCCGTCGCCACGGCCATCGCTACGTCATCATCATCATCATCAGCAGCAGCAATAGCAATAGCAGCCGCAGATGGTTGGCAGCTCCGTAGCCACGTGACGACAGAGGGAGCAGCACCGTCTGTCTCGCACACCGCCCAGCCCAAGCCAGCGTGTCTCCCAACCCTGCACGTCGGAATCTTTGCGGCGGCTTAGTAGCCCTGTTGCTGCTCTGGCCGCCCCACAGATCAGATCTATCCACAATTGGTTTTGATACAGGCGTTATGCAGCTCGACAGCGGCCAGCGGCCGCCCACGGCGGCGGCGGCGGCGGCTGCGGCTGCCGCGGTGGTGTCGCCGCGGCGCTGGGGTCTTGCCGCCGTCGGCGCCGCCAGCCGGAATGGTGGTTTCGGAGTAACGATGCTGGTCGTTCTCCTAGCGCTGTCCGCGGGCTTCGCGACGTCGACGCGGCGTCTCGCCGCCGGCAGCGCCAGCGATGGCGGCGGCGAAGCCGCCGCCACCGACGTGGCTTCGCCGAACCGACTGTCGCGGCATTCCGCGACGGGTTCTGGCAGCATGCTGGAGGCCCAGGTGGGGGGTACTGCAACCAGCCGTACAGTTGCTCAGTGTCCAGCGGTGGCGTTGTTCGACGGCGCTGCCACCGCCGCCGTCGTCGCGGTGGGGTCCACTAGCCCCGCCGCCGATGGCGGCGGGGGGGCCCAAGGCGTCGTGGCGGCGGCGGCGCCGCCCCCACCGCTGCCACCGCCTTCGGCGGCGGCTACGAGTGGTGGTGCTGGTGGTACCGGTGGCGGGGCGAGCTGGTGCAGCTGCACGCCGGGTGCGTTTTCGGTTTCCGAGTGCTTATTGAGGCACCTATCAAAACCGTCTTTCACCCTCCCTTTGAAGCAATCGCAACTAGTCCGGCTGCCTTTTTAATTCTCGCTGTGTTAAGAGATTCATATTAGTCTGTTTTCATTTATAATACTTTTGGTATCGTCAGTAATGTTATTTAGATTAGATGCTAAAGCTTCCAGAACTTTTTTGTTTTGGTATTTCAGATTTCTGATAACAAACAATATATCAAACTCCACTGAATAGAGTAATTTGGGATCGGTGTGGATATTAGTAATTCATGATCTATTCATGATTCCATCGAATCCATCGTGTCCTTTTAGCATGGAAGCTTTCAAAACATCTTTGACATTTTTCTGTTCTGTTGAACGAGCTGCACAAATCTAACAGGAAAGGACAACACAAGCTGCATGCCTAAACGCATTCGACAAGTACTGACGCACGACGAATACAGATACACACGGACACACATACTTTCATGCCTGCAGGTACATTCCTAAGGTACACATGTTTTTTAGATGTACATATTTGGATGTCTTAACTTGTCGCGATTTGAGTCGTGTCATGTCATGTCTTGTCATCATGCTACAGGTTGGGCCGGCGCTGCTTGCTCTCGTTGTCAAGTGGGATGGCCGTGGGCGTGCGCTTCGCTGATGCCAAGCGATCCCAAAGCCACCTGTGTTTCGTCACTCACCTTCACCAACCGTACGCTGTACAAGATCGCCAGCTGTACCGTGGACCCCGCCATGCAAAGATTCGTACTGTCGCTGGAGGTACGTACGTACGTGCGGTACGGCCGTTGATGTACGACATTGCGGCTGTTGTACAGCGTTGTACGGCACGCAAAGCCGTGGATCAATGAAAACGTGGCCATGAGGAATTCGCAATTAAATGATATTTCCAAGGGGCGGCGACGTTGGTAAATCCATGCCGTAACCTTGTATGACCTGTCGTACTGCCGTGTACGTGCTTTTTCCTGCCCGACAGTCCTACTGCAGTACCGTCCCAGTTTCACCGCTGATACCGGCGTACGACAAGCTCATCCGCCAGCTGAACGTCACTGGCTTCGACATGAGCAATTACACTGGCGCTGCCGCCGCCACCGCGGCCGATCCCAACGGAACCCGGAATGCAGCCAATTCGTCGGATGCTAGCGGCGGCGGCGGCGGCGGCGGCGCTGCTGGCAGTCAGAACTCCACAGTCGTTTCTACGCCGTACTGTTTGGTGGCCCTGCGCGGCGGCAAGTACGTCAAGGATGAAGTTCTTCAATGTGTGGGCACTGGGTGCCGGTTTACGGAGGGCAGCCAGTCGTACACGTGAGGAGGGAGGGAGGGGGAGGGGGGAAGGGGGGGGAGAAGGGGGGGAGAAGGGCGCGTGGACCAGCAGCGAACAAACTACTCGCGTAAAGACTTACAGACAGACTTACAGACAGACAGACAGACAGACAGAGACAGACAGACAGACAGACAGACAGACAGACAGACAGACAGACAGACAGACAGACAGACAGACAGACAGACAGACAGACGTATAGGCGGTCTGGTTCCCCGGAGGACTTGAGTAACGGATTTCGGGGCGGGCTACGTGCCCGGGTTTCCGTGTCGAATCCCCTTAAATCGTTTACCTGCTGTGCAACTGATGGGTGGCTGTCAGTTTAATAGCGCAATAGGGTAGAGGGAAACTATGAACTAACCAACAACTAACCAGCAACTAACCCTTCCTCCCCCAGGTAACGCCAACATAGTTAAAACCCAGGCTCTTCCATCGGCTCCTCCTGAACCAAACTCCCCCCTCCCTCCTGAACCCCTCCCTCCTTCCTCTCTCCTCCGTATCACCCCTTCATCCGTACTCATCCCCTTCATCCGTACTCATCCCCTTCATCCGTACTCATCCCCTTCATCCGTACTCATCCCCTTCATCCGTACTCATCCCCTTCATCCGTACTCATCCCCTTCATCCGTACTCATCCCCTTCATCCGTACTCATCCCCTTCATCCGTACTCATCCCCTTCATCCGTACTCATCCCCTTCATCCGTACTCATCCCCTTCATCCGTACTCATCCCTTTCATCCGTACTCATCCCCTTCATCCGTACTCATCCCCTTCATCCGTACTCATCCCCTTCATCCGTACTCATCCCCTTCATCCGTACTCATCCCCTTCATCCGTACTCATCCCCTTCATCCGTGCCCTTCACATACGCATCATCCCCTTCATCCGTACCCTTCATCCGTACCATTACTACCACACACCGCACAACGCAGCTGCTCCGGCACAATGCGCTGCGGTTGCCCGCCGAACGACGCCTTCGCCGCGTCCGCCGGCGCGCCCGCTAGCCTGTCGTACTGCGGCGAGAGGCTCCGAAACCTGGTTACTGGTATGGGGGGATCCTTCGGACTGGACTGTACGGGCCCGGTCAACGGCAGCGGGGCGTGCAAGCTGGAAATCGACGGGCTGCCGTTCCCGCTGCCGCTGACGTGCAGCCCGAATGAGTGCCGTACAGCGGCGGCAGCGGCGGTGGTGGCGGCGGCGCTGAGCCGCGGCGGGACGCCGCCGCCGCCGCCGGTCCAGAACTGGGTGCCGCTGGTTGCCGGTGAGCCGTACAAGTTAGTTAAAAAAATCGGATTTTGAGTGTTACGCCTCCGGCTAGCGTAAGGTCAAGGCTTTGGGGTTTTAGGTTGTACGGTGGAGGGATCTCATGGTTGGCGGAGTTGGTTCGAAATGGACTCACGTGTGCGTGTGTGTGTGTAGGCCGATCCTCCCGATTCTGCTGGCCGCCAGCTCCTGCTGCTGCATGCCCAGTATCATCCCGGTCCTGCCCAGGAATGGACAGCGGAACTGCTGCACCCACCGGTCCCACAGTAGCTCGGTTCGGCTGGTCATACATAACCCGGTCGTCCACAGCTGCCGAGCGGTCCCACCTCCAGTGTCGCTTCTGAGCGTAATCCAGTTCCGGGCTGTCCAGACGAGATCCAGAGGGACCATTGCCTTCCGCCTGGCGTTTACGGCTGATGCGTTTTGAT